GAGGCCAATGCCAGGGTCAACGTCCCAGTAAGGGAGCAACGGGGTCACTGGACCCACAAAGACTCCTGGGGCAAAGCACCAGCCTGTTTGTCATGGGTGCCTGTGCCAGGGGCATTTTGTGAGAGACTGTCCCTCCTGGGCCCGTGGATGTAATCACATGACTCCACCGGTCCAGATGGTGGGAGAGTGAGGTCCTGAGGAATATGTTGGATCAGCACAGGAAGCAGAGGTGGACCAATACCAGGACTGTTCGGACTGGCCCACCTGGTCCCTGGGAGTGATGCCGGTACTGCCCACGCAGTGCATAGAGATGACCTACGCTGCTGCCACTGTCAGTGAGTGCTGGTAAATGACATTCCTGCAGAAGGACTGCGGGACACCTGGGCATGCTTGACTATTGTTAAGCCTCATTTGCTGCGAGGTGTGTTGCAATTGCCCCAACCCAAAGTGATTGCCATTGCTGGCAGGGGACGACTTGCTATTTCTGTGGCTCATGTGTGTGGGCTGGGAGGCTGACTGTGGATACAGGGAGGTTGGAGTGTTGCCATTCCTTCCTGTGGATGTGTTATTTGCGAACGACTTGGGACCCATGGAGAGCTACTTCATCCAGGTCGTAGCCAGGGCTCAAGGAGCTAAAGCAAAGAACTTGATCCTGGACGGTGTACCCCCTTTGTTCATGCGTTCCACTCAACCCACCTTACACGAAGGTGGCACTACCACTCTGGCAAAGGATCTGTTTATTCTTCAGGAAGAGTAGGTGTGAAAAATTATGGTTTGCCGATAGAAGAGCCTATTATTATTTGTTCTATTGACAGCTGCAATAATATTAGTGCCCTTTATTGTTTATCAAATGAAAACCTTGTCGCATCCACCTCCTGATGTACTATTTATAACTGCAGAAATATACTCAGGTACCATTGTAGAGACCCTCCTTATTAAGTATATTATATGGCACTGCATCAGTCAGTACAACAAGGCCAATATGTCTTCCTATTCCATCAAATCAAAGACTATAAAACAACATAGGGATAGAGGTATTCAGTGTCCAGCTGGTCAGACATCAACAGCTGTGGTAAACACGACTGAAGAAAATCTAAATGGAATCCTACAAAATGACACTAATGATATGAAGCTTTCTGTATAATTCAAGGCAAAAGCCATGCTTGAAAATACTGGGGCATAGTTAAAAACAGATTGACTCATAGTGGCTCTTTTAGCTCCTGGACGGGACATTTTTCCCTGCTGGCAATTTGGGTTAGCATTACCAAGGCACACGAGGCTCAGTAGCTTAACATAATTATATGGAGAAATCCCCAACACTGTTTACGATAAAATATCGCAAAGGCCTGTCACATGGTGTTACAATTAGATGTCCTGGTTCCCGTAGTTGGAGAGTCGAACGCTACTGCAATCGGTAGAAACCTGTAAGTGTAGAATATCCCACTAGCTATAATAAAGCTAGGATTCCAGGTTCCCTACAACATGAGTCGAGGCTGCGAATTGTGGGTAAAATGAACTGGCTTTAACGGGACACAGGCATGGCAATTTATGCAAGTCCCCAGGTCCAGGGACAGCCCCCTCTGGACCTGATGGAATACAGGTACAACACAAGGATTCGACCAATCACATTACGCTGTATCATTCAAAATAGTACCCACCGAGCTTGGAGATAATGAGTCCAACTAGTTATCTCCAAGCACCCAAAATACCAAGCTTTATTTTGTCATGGAAAACAGCATAAAAATATATAACTTCAACATTTTGATGAGAATACAACTTGTTCGACTATTCATTTGGTAGCTCAGATCTGAGCACATCAGGTATATGAATTGTGCTCAGATCCCGCAAGCAGAACAGATGGTTTCTGTCATACAAAGTCTCATTTGTTGCTTTTATCCTGAACTCATGATGGCGGCCATGTTTTAAGGTCGGTCAATGGACAGCGGGACCTCGACCTAGAACTTATGGAGCAGGTGTCGGTTACATATTTGCATGAACCCCCGCTCTCTGTATGATTGTCCCAGCCGTTCGGAAAAACGAACGGAGACCGCCTAGAAGGGGGTACTTAACCTGCGGTTAACTGCAAAATCCACATTCTAATTGAGGCCACACACCAGGATGTAGGTGGTCCTTGTTCATGAGTCTTTCGGTAGTTTTCAGTTAGGGGAAATGTACACGAAAGTGGATGCCCTGCGACCGTCAATTAGGCTGTGGTTAACCGCAGACCGCAGCTCCTTTGGTGGTTACTTAGAGGCACGCTCTGCTCGTAGGGTGGTCGGTTGTTCGGTACTTTCAAAGGTGACCGGGGTTAAGTGGCGGCACAAGCCAAGGGCTGGGTGGTTCGTCGTTCGTATACACGAATGCGTAGATATAACTGTACGTGGAATGAGTTCGTACAGTCTGGATACCGAACAGAGTACTGGATGAACAAAAAGGGGTTACTTCTATAACAGTTTGGAGGGTCCTTGTAACACATGGCAATGCTGATGTACTGTCTAGGAGAATGGAGGGGTAACCCTGTCCTCATGCTGCCTGTGACCCAAGCAGTAGGGTCCCAGCCTGGCAGTAGGACTTTCTTCAGGGGGGCTGGGAGGGGAGGAGAAATGTGACAAAAAGAGACGTTACACAAGATGCAGAGCCTCACCTCATGCTGAGAAATCTGCATGGCAGTTGCTGTTTGAAAATAAAAGTTGTTGCTGTTTGTATCAAGAATAAAGCTGGTTGTCTTTTTCCTTGCTGCAAACATAGGCATGCGCACGGGGTGTGCCGGGTATGCATGGGCACACCCTAATCACACCTCCATGCTGCAATGCCTTAGGGCAGACTAACATGGCACTAACCGACACAGGAGGGGGCCCGGCGGCTTGCCCACAATGCCGCCGGGTGCGAGAGCCCTCCTGTCAATCTGCCCTGACAGAGATCCAGCCTCAGTGTGCAGCTCTGCTGGGACTGAGGTCAACGCTCTGCCTGGAGATCGTGGCAACGCTCTGCCTGGAGATTGCGAGACTCACCATGTGGTCTGCAGCTCACTCCTGGCAGAGCTGCAGACTGAAGAGAGAAGGCGCCCACTGGACCACCAGGGCAGGTATTTATAAACCCCCCTCTACGCCCTGCCACTGCACCTCTACCCCCCTGCTACCTCCCCTCTACTCCGCTACCTCCGGTCACTGCCCCTCCACTCCCCCCCACCCTTTGTCACTGCCCCTCTACCTCCTAACCCCTGTAACTACCCCAACCCCTGTCTCTACCCCCCTAACCTCTGTCACTACCCCTAACCCCTGTCACTACCTCTCTACCTCCCAACCCCTGTCACTGCCCCTTTACCCCCCAACCCCTGTCACTG